AAAAATCTTATAACGAATTCGCGGGCGCGCAAAAACCTCCGAGGACACTCATTCTTCCCAAATATGCATTTTTATCGACGTATTTCGGTACTTTGTACTGTTACGATCGACCTTAAATTTTGCACACACCTAGATATATGAACAATATTTAGGAATCAGAAGAAAAAAGTGAAATAAATCTTATAACGAACTCGCGGGCGCGCAAAAACCTCGGAGGACACTCGGAGGACACTCATTACCCGGAGGACACTCATTAGGGTGACCGTCAGTGAACAGGTGGTCATCCCTATACAAAGAACGTTAACTGGCCAGTATGAAAGTTTCAAGTAAAGGTCAAGGCGACAGGTCATTTGTGACTGAATATACATACGTAAACACAAACAACAATAAAAAAAAATCACACTATGAACATATGTGTAAGTAAACAACAATGAATTCTTACTAACTTTGATGTCAACATCTTCTCTTGAAGTCATCACTCTGGTCATCATAAACAAAATGAGGAGTATATGTGTAACCTATAGTAATTATGCAAAACTTAATGCTGGGGTTCTGGGTGAAGCATTAAACAACATAACACTCTATGTAAACATATTTAAGCAGGTAAAATGGAGCCAGGTAAGATTAAGATCTATCGGAAATATTTAAGAATCTTGCCTAGCTTCCTTATCAAAATTACATCCTTCTACTTAACATATATTTACCAGATAATCTTGACAAGTAATTGTAAACCCTGACTCTGCCGTATATATATTTGTATTTACCAGTGAAATCTGGCGTAGCTCGCCGTTCCTTCAGCATGTCAATCATAGCCATTGCCAAACAAAACTCGTCAATGGACAGACGGCCATCCTCGTCAGCGTCAGCAAATTTCCTTCGGATCAGAATAACAAGTACCGGTACACATTATTTTTAAAAAAAAATGAAAATAAATGTTTCTTCAGGGATATTCAAAACTGCTGTTAAATGTATCTCCTATCCAGTGTTAATAACATTTAAGTAGATATCTTTTAAAAAATGTCATTTAAGATGAAACTAAATTAACGATTATTTTGGAGAAATAACTTGACCATAGTATATTCCTGGATGAAAGATCTTTGGACCACTGCAAAGAAGTGTAGGTATGTATTAGAAACTGTTTTCAAGGCAATAAATCAATTCTGAAAAGCAAACTATCTGTAACAGAGGTCATTTTTTGTCAATGCCTCTGCTAGGAGTCGAACCCTGGACCTCTGGCTTACTGGTCACATGCTCTACTGAATGAGGTAAAGAGAAATTCTCCCTAGCTAGCCAGGTAGGTAGGAAGCGGCTAGTATTTTACCAGGGTGACAATAAAAAAAATATTATAATAAGAAAATTCTTCAGGCAGATCTTTCATGGTTCTGTATTTCTCACAATACCATAATTTCATTAAACATACTAATATGATAAGACAGGTACCAGTTAATGCATTTTCACACACAAAGATAAAATTTGTAGGAATCCGTAATATCTGGTCAATCTCTGGAGTTGTTCCAGATAAAAAGAGATTTAATAAATAATGTGACCTAATAACAAAATAGAATCTACTATACAGTATTCCGAGCGTAAAACTGCAGTTGGTCAGACCAGGATTTAAACCCTGGTCCTCTGATCATTACCCTGTCACTCTTACGAATTATACTGAGCTACCTCCTCAACAATATGTAGTACCCTGGCCAAGTCATTTTACAGTTATAGCCCAAATAAAATCAAAGGGAGCCTCTACTCTACAACAACACAAATTTCAATGGTAATTTCTAGTGTTTTGCATGCCATAAATGGGACAGGGATCATTCAAACTATTCCTCTGTTTCAGTACTAAAGAACTCAATTACAACACCAAAAACTTTTAGTCATTTTTAATTTTGTTATCATTGATTAGCTTTTAAAAACTCTTAAATAATTACAACATCTTATATATAATTAACAGCTAGGAAATAAATTGTGAATTTGGTTTAAATGATATATATACTCCAACTATACTGTTAAAACAATTCCATATTAGATATCTTTCATATAGAATGTACTTACCACACCTGAAACAAGTCTAACTTCGAGAGTCTTTTGTCTTTAACTATGAAGGCCACTTCTGCACCTGGAAATATTAAATAAAACAGATTTTCATTCAGATTGTTTTCATATTTCTGGTAACTAACACCCTCGCAGGTCCATCATCCCAGCAAGGTTATATAACACATGTACAGAATACAAATATTACTTATTAGTCAACACATAATATAAGAACAAAAGGTTCGTAAATAATTAGCCATGGCCCTTCGAGAAAGTGCATTTGAAAAAGAACTTGCCTAAAAAACATTTATATTGGTCTGAAAGTTATGATAATAATAATTATATAATTATAATAATAATAATAATTCGAGGTTCTTATATACTGCTTTATCACAACCTAGTTTGTAGGTCGTCTCAAAGCGGTTGCACAAATTATTATCCGTGGTTTTAGGGCCTTTGCAACCAGTCAATATCGTTCTCAACTCCCTGGGGAGCCGGTGCTGCCATTTCGGTGCTCACAGCTAGCATTCTACAATTCTAGCCCTGCCCAACCACGTACTCATTTACAGCTGAGTAGACTGTAACAAGCGGAGTAAAGTATCTTGCTCAAGGATACAACACAGTGCTGTGCCGTGCCTCGAACCCGTAACCCTTTCGGTCACGAGCCCGGCGTCCTACCACTAGACTACTGCACCTCCTTTATCTTATACACAATTGTACATCGGCAGTAGTTAAACATTACTCATCCTTTAAATTACCTTTAATTACATCATACCGTATATAGTTGTCATGTAAAGTATCAAGTCACCTGTCAAAAAGTGCTCATCTTTTTTCTTCGTTGACTTGAAGTATTTGGAGTACTTCTCCTTTGCTTTCTGTGAGAGGCAGAAGCTGCCATCATATCTGTAAAAGCATTTAAATGTTTTTTTTATTATTTCAATGCTGATTTCAGACCTGAAATGCAAATTGTTCAAGGTATAAATTGTCATATCAAACACTTGTATCAAGGTATTGTCATATCAAACACTTGTATCAAGGTATTGTCATATCAAACACTTGTTCAAGGTATAAATTGTCATATCAAACACTTGTTCAAGGTATAAATTGTCATACCAAACACTTGTTCAAGGTATAAATTGTCATACCAAACACTTGTTCAAGGTATAAATTGTCATACCAAACACTTGTTCAAGGTATAAATTGTCATA